GGGGGGGGGTGGGGTGGGGTGTGATAACGTCCTTTGGCTTTAGGCACTATATCCTACCGCTATGAGGTCTTCTCTTGCGCTTCCACACATACGCTATGAGATCTTCTCTTGTACTTGCGCACACCGACATGATGCCACTCTATCAGATCTTCTTCTAGCTCTGGCTTTGGGGGCGTGGGGTGGGGTGGGGTGTGCTCACGTCGTTCGGCTTTAGGCACAGGGACTAGATCCTACCGCTATGAGATCTTCTCTTGTCCTTGCATACCGACATGATGCTACGCTATCAGAAATTTCTTCCGGCTCTGCTGATGATGATGATGATGACTATGATCATGAAAATTCTGATAATGATGGTAATGATGCTGATAATGATAATGATGATAATGATAATGATGATAATGATGATAATGATGATAATGATGATATTGGTGGTAATGATGATGATATGATAGTGATGATAATGATGAAGAAGAAGAAAAGATCATGACGGCGGTGCGGCGATGACCATAACAATGATGACGATGATGGTGACGATGATGATCATGAACAAGAAGATGATGATGATGATGATGATTATGGTGGTGGTGGTGGTGGTGATGATGCTGATGATCCTGATGATCATGAAAGTGAGGATGATGATGCGGAGGAGGATGATAATGATGAGGATGATGAAGATTGTGATGGTTATGACGATGACGACGAGCATGATGATGATGATGATGATGGTGATGATGATGATTGTGATTTTGGAATCACTGCCGAGATGACTTTGGAGTCACGAGCGTGCAGAATTTGGAGTTACAAGCAAGACATCGCCCGTGAGAATGCGAGATATATTGTCAGAAATAATGCCGACAGAATTTCAGAGAGGCGATGTGGAGCAAGAATGCAGCATACAAGCTTTGTGAAAAAATACAAGTAGAACCCGCGCGAGGCGGGTGGCGGAAGTTTCCAGGTTTAAGGACTGTGACGCTATAGGACGTTGCTTTGGCATTTCGATGGACACAAATTCTTGGCGTGTTGACGGACACCATCATTTTGGCACGTCCACGGACACTCTTTTGGCATGTTGACGGGGCCAAACTTGTTTGGCATGTCGACGGGAACAACCCTTTTGGCATGTTGACGGTCGTTTTGGCATGTTGACGCGTCGTATGTCGTATCCCGCATTCTTCCGTGTAGGACTTGTACGTATGTTTGCTTCAGGACTGTGATGGGTCTGTCTGTATTCTCCTAAACATTGGGATGGGCCGTGTGACATCTGCGGAAAAAAACTGCCATCAACCCAGCAATGTAAGGACTTATGCAAACCCAGTCTTTGGGAGGGGTGTGCACAAAACTTACAGTAGATCAAAACAAATCCAAACATCTTTCAAGCCCAACTCGACGATTCCGTTGTACCTTTGATGAATCTCAGGATTTCTTTCTCCCAGAATCGGTTTTAGTGAACATCAGCAGGAACCTGGAAAAACATTGTTTTGTTTTTTGGTGAGCCGGGCCAAACTATGAAAAAACAATTCAAAACATTGTTTCAGGAGGCTTCATTGAACTTTTGGCCTAGATCAGTATCAAAAAAAAATTCCACCATGGTTTACTTACTGTTTCCTGTGTAACTTCAGTTAAAAAGTATCAGCACGCCACACGCCAAAAAAAACTTTTAAGCAAGCATTCTTGTAAATCAATCTTGACCCCAAACAAAAACATCCCCAAAAACATCCAAAAACGCTTGGTTTCCTCACATTTCCTTCCCTAGTTCCATTCAATCAATGCTTCTTGGGTTGCGCACCTGAAGTTCTGTTGCCAGCCATCCGCGCTCCTCCTTCAAGGCTAAAGCAGGCACCCACCAGTGTAGCGCATGCCAAACGTTGGGGAAGGGCGTGCCTACTGGCACCAGAAAGGCCTCACAAGGATGGGGTGCTTGAAGTTTCCGGGGCCTAAATCTAACTGGTGGTTTATGAATCAGGGGTTGGCATTACCAACAGGGTGTGAATATAGCTACATGGTTAGGGATGTCTAAACGTCATCAACCAAATCTGACAGGGCACTGTCAGGATGAGCTTTCAGCATGCAGTGGAATATCACTATATATAACGAACCATTCATTCACCAGCCCATCCCATCGTGACAGTATATCATTCTGTAAAATCAAAGGAAACCCTGCCTGAAGGTTTTTGAGTTCCCCAGAGGGGTCCACATCCTGTTGAATCTGCTCCAACTTTACCTCTTTGACCTCATGGATGGGGACTGACAGCTGGGAAACCATCCAAGAGAATCAAGAGAACTATGGGAGCCTGCAAACCATCAGCACCAAGGTGTAAAAATCTGCCGACTTTTTCCCTATCCGTCTTGATTGCCACTACCAAAAGTGCTGCCATGATGGTGTCGCTTCAGACTATTGCCAAAGCCGAACGTGCTGAAGAATAAACTTTCAAGTTGGGAGACGTACCCATTGAATGGATGCTAAGTAATGCCAAATGACCAGATTAGGGCTATCAAATGCACCAAACTCCGCGCAGAGGGCAGTTCTGACATCACTTCCACGCCATTTGGGAACCACGATTGCGCCAGATTCTAAGCAAAAACCATCCAGTGCAATGGGACCATCGCAGCGATTCTGGTGCACCTGCAGTTGGGGGATTGTCGAGGGTGGTAGTCATGCAATCACAAAAACGCTTGGGTGGAAAGAAGCACCAACAGCCGTCATGCGGACATAGTCAGAGTATCCCCAAACAAAATCAGGATCTAAACAGCATAAACCCTAAATCAAACTTAACCCCAACAATAGATGGACAGATGGACATAGATGGACAATCAAAGAAATCGAACCCAGCACTCAAAACCAATGTTCGGTAAAACTCTGCTCCGTCGCCATCTCGAGAGTTGAGCCCCATGGAATTGGCCATCCCCCCAGTGCCATATTTTGCCTATAGACTTACTATAAACTATAGACTTGCTACAGGCTTTAGATATCTATAGATCTATGCCCATTTCGGTGCTTAATTTCAAAGACCCCAGATCTTGTGATTTTCCTCCTTGATTAGGGGTCCCCCAAGAAGATTGCAATAATTAAGCTCCTATCAAAAATTATCCCGGCAAGAGACCCCAAACATCCCCAAACAGTGTGGGGGGAGGGAGTAAAAAGAGCATGTATTATGATGAGGATGAAGATGATGATGGTGATGATGGTGATGATGGTGAGAGGAAGAAGATGATGATGGTGATGATGATGGTGATGATGATGATGATGACGAGCAGAGGAATAAGAAGATGATGGTGATGATGATGATGACGACGATGATGATGATGGTGGTGAGAGGAAAATGATGATGTGGATGTTGAGGAGGAAGATGATGAAGTTGAGGAGGAAAATGTTTAGGAGGAAGACCGATCCCAAGACCGGGACGCACACTTTGCGTGAGCCTGGGCAGTCGAAATGCACACAGACATTGCACAAGAGACATCTTGTGCGGAAAGTTACAGGGAAAATGCCAAATGCTAATCCCGGGGCCAGCATTTGGTGCGAGCCTGTGCAATCGAAATGATTCGAAATGCAGATGGACATGTCACAAGAGGCATTTTGCGCAGAAATTTACAGGGAAAATGCAAAACGCTAATCCCGGGGCCAGCATTTTGTGCGAGCTTGTGCAGTCGAAATGCACATGGACATGTCACAAGAGGCATTTCGTGCGGAAATTTAGAGGGAAAATGCCGGACGCTTCCAATATCACCTCAATCGAACACCGGGCCTTAACTGTTACCGTACGAACCCCTTCAGTGTGGCCACACTGTTTGGGGAAATACATCAAAACCTCTGGAGCCATCTTGAATAAAGGAGTGTAAATCAATCAAAAAACAAGCGACCGCTTGGATTGGCATCCCTATTTTGTGCTTGAAACATTTCACATCTGACATGCCCATTCATGCTGGTTGTTGTTAACAGCCAATTGCAGTCTACATATGTGGTTTTGTCATGCCCGTTCATGCTATCATATTAATATATTATATATAAATATAAAGTATATAAACTAATCCAAATATATATACATATATATATACATATATATATATATAGATTATATAAATTCATCCCATATGAATCCCATATGGATCAAATATGATTCACAACCATCACCCCTGCCACCAGGCCGCCGGCATCAAGCGATACGGACTCCGGCGCCAGGCCACTTGGCGCACCGCCTGCCGCGGCGTCAACGGCACCGCTGCGCGGCGGCTCGGCGCCAGCAGGCGGGCGGCGTTGTACACCACGTCCTCCGCCGTCAGGTCCCAGAAGGAGAGCCTTGGAGGTCGGTGAAAGGCAAAGGAAACTATAAAGAATGGAAATATTCGGAATATGAATGTGATGAAGCTATTATATGCTATTATTATGTGCAGATTATGTGTTGTGATTATTCTTGTTGTCATTAACTATGTTTGTTGTGGTTATGATTATTGTTGTTGTTGTTGTTGTTATTAATTATGCTTGTTGTTGTTATGATTATTGTTGTTGTTGTTGTTAACTATGTTTGTTGTGGTTATGATTATTGTTGTTGTTATTAATTATGTTTGTTGTTGTTATGATTATTGTTGTTGTTATTAATTGTGTTTGTTGGTGTTATGATTATTATTGCTGTTGTTAAACATGTTTGTTGTTGTTATGATTATTGTTGTTGTTAATAATGATGTTTGCTGTTGTTATGATTATTGTTGTTGTTATTAATTATGTTTGTTGTTGTTATGATTGTTGTTGTTGTTGATATTAATTATGTTTGTTGTTGTTATGATTATTGTTGTTGTTAACTATGTTTGTTGTTGTTATGATTATTGCTGTTGTTATTAATTATGTTTGTTGTTGTTATGATTATTGTTGTTGTTATTAATTATGTTTGTTGTTGTTATGATTATTGTTGTTGTTATTAAACATGTTTGTTGTTGTTATGATTATTGTTGTTGTTGTTAATTATGTTTGTTGTTGTTATGATGATTATTGTTGTTATTAATTATGTTTGTTGTTGTTGTTGTCGTCGTCGTCGTCGTCGTCGTCGTCGTCGTCGTCACTTATCATCTAACAATTGTCTCGTTAATCCAGGCGGGCAAGATATCAAATAAAAATTTGAAACCACCAGCCCACAAAGACGAGAACTGTCCGAAAAAAAAAAGCACAGCTTTTGAACCGAAGCAAGAAGTGGCAACGTCAAACAGTCTGTCCATGGAGCTAGCACCACCAGTGCAAAGGCCAACAGGTACAGCTCTGCTGCCCGATCCCACTTTCGTTGCAGAATGCACGCTTGAGCTACTGCGATGTTGGTGGCAACATCTCCAGATACCTAGGTCAGAAGTAATATTTGATCAATTTTGATCATATGCCAAAACGATCCAAAATTTAGGTTCACTACAGGTATAGTATGATCGACCCAATCATATCTGGACCTAGGATATCTGAAACCTAACATCTCTGCTGCATAGGCCATGTCAAATTCTATTTCCACAAGCCATGCGGATTCCATGCATCATCCTAGTTCAAGCTTTTTGGGGTGCATCATACATCGATTACAAAATATGCTACGAGTAGCACTAGCATTTTATAGGAAAAAGTTTAACGTTTCTATTTTATTGGATTTGGCAAATAACACACATATATGTATATAAGTTGTCTGAGAATAAAGCATCCCAAAAATCCCGTGGCTCATCTTGTTCCCAATCAAGATGGCCATTTAAAGGGTCGACGGTCTATCCAAATTTTCAACTAGACGTAGTTTGAGCCCTAGTTTGACCTCTACACCAGGAGAAAGTCTCTGTGCCCAGGCGCGCAGTTCGTTTGAAGCGACGTCTGCTCGAAAAGCAGCAGAGCCTCCTGAGCCATTCGAGGCTCCACGCAGGACTGCAGCATGGACATGTGATGGGCCGGTTCCTTAATGAGTTGCTGCCGGGCATATCGCGAATATAGCTGGATTGACCAACCATAAGAGTAATAATACAAAGTGATCGTGTAGGATGCTATATCATAGTTGTGAACCACTTACTAATTGGGGTAGATTCCTTGGTTATTAAGTTGAATATCACCAGTATTATGATGACCAGCCCTGGATTTGAAAATCAGCCACTCAACGAATCCAAGGTTCTCCCGGGCTCGTGAGCATTCCGGTGAAGTTGGGATGGTAGAGCCAAAGCCTCTTGATGTTGTCACGCATGGCCATCAGCATGTCGTAACCTCAGGAAATTCTCACTTGAAATCCTTCATGCCACACCACTTGTCTATATAGTTAACAGGTACCAGCAAGGCAATGCAGGAACAAACAAAAAGATTCTCTAACGAAAAAGATCAGACGGGTTCAAGTCACGACTATCTTGAAATGGCTTTTACTTTTGCCATGGACCACTGCAACGATGGGCCATCCCAGTGATACATAAACCTTTATCATGGCTACACCGTCCCGGCTATACCACTAGAAATGGGAACCCCCGACTGGATGGCTACTGGGATGGCAAATATAAATATCTTCAAGAATGGTTAAGTATGGTTTGCCACATTCTACAAGCATGGTTAAGTATGGTATGATTAATTAAGTATGGTCAAGAATCGGTAAGTTCCAAAAACCCCTAGAAATGGTTGCCCACGTTTTTTTCCATGCTTTTCCCCCTTGACAAGGCACCTTTCCCCGCACACGCGCACGCCTCGAAGGGTGCCTGGCGTGTCTGTTCCATCCCCTGCCGCAGCCGCTGCCAGCTGCGGATCTCGTAGCGTCGAAGCTCCGCCGAGAGCGGTCCCAGTCCAGCGCCCGGGTCCTACATTTCTGGGGCATTTTTTGGGGTAAAAATGTTGGAAAAATGCTGAACAAATGGTGGAAACATGTTAGATAAGATATTGTTATATTAAATATTCAAACACCTCGTCTATATGCGGCTCGGAAACTGTAACTAGTCGCTCCCTCCTACCCACCAAATAGTTAAATAGTTTGGGTGAAACACTTTGAAGATGTTGATCTCTCTTGGTATTTTATGCAGATTCTTAGATATAAAAGACAAAAAGGTCCAGGATGAAAATGATGGGAACATATGGGAACCTGTTCTGATTGGAGTCAAGATGTTCTGTTCTCAACGGGTGCGATTTACGTCCATGACATATTCAAGAATAGACCAGCATTCTCGCAACGCTTCTGGGATCTCGTCCAATGACGGACGGAGCTATCGTTAGATCCGAACTCAAACTCGGCCCTTCAAGCTGCAAATTTCATGGGAGCCAATGTTTGGCAATGAATTCCAATTGCATGTACCCCCATAAGGACCAAAATTCTGCCGCCAACCTCCCACCTGAAAACTCTTCCCCAAGACAAATCTCTTGCAGAAGAGCTGCATGGCGGAACCAGTCAAGCTTGAGGACATAGAAGGCGAGAAGCTCACTGATTGCAACCACAACACCTGGCCAAGGTTTTAAGCTTTGTCGTGGACTAGTCGACTACCTACCTCCTTCGATGCTGATTCTAACTTTCAACCCTCCCTAAAACAAATGTAAATATCGTAAATGGGGTGCGGATCACCAGTTATGGAGCCCATTACTGATGCTATAACTCATTCATAGGAATGATTATGATTGGTGCCAAAGTCGATTTTGGGAATCCTAGTGACGTCCCAAACACTATGACGGATCTGACCTCTGAGCGCCTGTGAAAAAGGAACGAACCCATTGTACAAGTGCACAATAAAACAAATACTAAATGTTCATGTCGCTATATCATATCATGGGATTATTTTTAGATGTTCCTGGTTTTATTAGAGAAATTATTGATAATCACCGAACCAGATTATTATGATGACTGGTTGGTGGGGACCATCGTGCCAAATAGGGCTGATTTTAAAACTAACAACCAGGTTACAATCATGATAGGTTTTTGTTTTACCCAATGGATTACCCTCTGGTAAACTCAGACTTCGCTATGGAAAATAACCATTTCAACTAGCCAACTAAATGGGCCATTTTCCTAGCTATGTTAGTTTACTGGAGCAGAGGTTGTTCAATGTCCCAATTGAACATCACCCTAGGGAGATAACTTCCAACCGATATTTTAAGTGATGAAACAATTACCAACCCAAGTGAAGGGTGTACACTGTAGCATATTAGCCACTGATCATGGTATATGTATAAATATATGTATATATAAAACAACCTGGAACTTCCAAATCCTGAAACTTTCCAGGTGACTTCGGTGTTTGATGGTTTTTACTTTAAATCGATGAGAAATAGCGCAAAACTCCTAACTTCACTAAAACCACTGGAAATCATAGAATATGAGCCAAATGGCAATTCAACAGAGATATTCGATTATGTTTCCTCGGGGCATACCCAATATCACCATATATCACCCAATCCCACCATGTTGGCAGCTTTGTGTGTGAAGTGTGCGCTTCTTGATCTTCTTGAGCTCACCAAGCACGTCCTTCCTCAGCTGTGGAGTTCAAAACTCATGCAGCCATGGATGATCATGGACACAAAGGACAAGGAAGGATCCCGAAACTTGGACGTAATCCTCTTATAAGGATTTCCCATATGATGATAATATATACATCTAACTGCTAGAGAATTTATAAATTTGAATCCCCTGAGTGACCGGATCTTTTGTATTGGATCTGGGAATACATATTGCACGTGGATGTTGGGTATTATTTGATATCTCTCAAATCCTATGACTTACTTCATCCGCTCAGGATGTGATGGTGATGGATTGGTATTGCCTACGTCGCTGGTTTCCAGGCTGCACCTGTGTGCACCCACCTGTGACCAAACCTTACCTCCAACCCACACCACCAACACCACCACCTCCTCCTCCATCATGACCTCAAACATCTCAGGTTTTGGTATGGCCGGCTATCTATGGAGTTTGTGAAGCTGGCCATGTATAGGTGCAACCCGCCCCGCCCTTGCCCGTCATGCAGTGCTGGGTGTCTGGGTGAATAGAGTCACTGATCAACATCCATGGTGCTGAAACTTGGTACTTTGTGGAATCCACAGTTTCTTACACGTTACAGCTCGGCTCGATATTTTGGAAGGTGTGACTAGGGCCAGGGTACCCAGTTACGATGACCACTGACTTGGCTAGAGCATGGGAGAAAGATGAAGCTATTAGAACAAAAGGCCGTAAGTTGGAGGCCGTCCCTTGGTTTATATATGTGGTACGAGTTTTTTTGAAGAACATATGTCATTAACAAATAAAATCATATCCTACTCGGTATATATACTTTATTCCAACTGCTCGAACATCTCAGGTTACCGTTGTGGGCAAGGTCGTTTCTCGAGATGGACTTTGCCAAAATGAGCGAGTCTTGATCCATGCGATCAACCACATTGGGTCGAGGGTTGGTGTGGATGTGGTGTACTTACACTTGGTAGCCCTTTATGAGTTCATGGGGGTTCCAATTGACCGCACCAAAGCTGCAAAGAGTGGATATAAATTTCAAGCGGGTATGTCTCAAATATAAAAGGGGCCCAGAAAGTGGTATGCATTCATTTTGAGACATCCCCTATATTATCAGTTTCATAACTTAGAATTCATGCTAACAAAACAGTTTTAACTACAACACATCTAAGGTGGGGTGTGCCATGTGCAGAGTTGGTACTTACGTCGTTGCATGTCGATCTACAATGACATAGTCCGTCGAAACCACCTCCCTCGTGAACCTGGTATTCGAAGAATCATGGCAGAGACAGGCATTGATCTGTCTTTGTATGGCCCATGTTCTGATGAGAATTTGGAACAAGAAACAGAGGAGGTTGGTGATGAGGACCTAACCGAAGAATGCGCAGAATCAGAGGATGCTGAAGATGATGAATGTTCCTAAGAGAACAAACTAGCATATTGTATGTAGTTTTTGATCACCAAAAATGACAAAGCATATCAAACCATTTCTCTAAATCCAAAACCCATCCCCCGTTTCTGAGGTGTGGAATGTGAAGATGTTACATGCCCTGGCCCAGAGGCCGTGGTTTCCAAAGACTCCCCTGCTTCTGAAGTTCGATCTCCTCCGGCTACTTGATTTCCCTAGGGTGTTCCCTTATTATAAGTTTCAATCAGCAAGTACTTCCTCCTTAAGATTTAAACATACCTATACCAGCTTGCTCAAGCCAAGGCTCTGAGCGATGGCATCGACAAATCCAAGGGTGAGCTCATCATCACACCTCCTCCTCGAGGCCATGCTTCTGGGATGATTTGAGAACCGGGGTCAGGCGGATGTGATGGAAAATATATACGCATTATATAGATCAATAAATATGATATGCCATAATATTTCCTTATGTGGCATATATATATATACATTGTGCACTCTGCTGGGTGTATGTTGCACCTCACACTCCTCTAGCATCCTTTAGCTACTTTGGCTAGGTAACCAGCCCTTGGTGCCAACACCTCCGAAGACACTACAAGAGACCACAGCTGCAAAGTTGGAAAAACTACAGAAGCTTCGGGAAGCGGTCAAGACTTTGGTGAATCTAAAGCACTTGCAGGAAGTGAAGAAGAAGCATGCAGATCTCACAGCATGTTCCTAGGATAATTTATGTTTTTCATGTCGCACAGCTGCTTGCTGAATGGTCCCAGGGTTTATGAATATTAGAGAGAGAGAGAGCACACATGTGTCAAGCCATGCGTACATGACCTGCCATATCCTGCAATCTTAGGTCCTGACAATGCCGACACCCAGCCTTTGATGCCAGAGGAAACACCTGAGGAGCCTTCCCCTTCCTCAACCGTGGATGTTGGAATGGAGTGGGAGGACCATGGGAAAAGGAATGGGATTGCCGAAGCCCAGTTAGAAGTTGACAAAGCTAGAACTATGTACTTTCAAGCTGCAAAGGCAGAAGAAAAAGCAGAGCAAGCAAAAGTCTCCAAGAAACAACTTGAGAAAAAGGCAGCACTCGACAAAGCATGCAGCACAGCCAACACAGAATCCAGCACAGCCGACCCAAAAAACACGTCACTGCAGGTGCACAACAAGTGGGCCACGAGGCATGATCTCAAATTGCAGAGCAAGCCAGGGACTGCACACGCAGACCATGAGCAAGACAGCAAGAACGACCCACCAAAGCCAGAGTCATTTGGACACACAGCCTTCCTTAGCCCAGATGAGCAATGCCCGCCGAAAAAGCGAGGTCGCAAGCCAAAGGAAAGCACTGCAACTGGTGGTTCCAAGGGTTCCAAGGTTGATGAGGGTGAGAGTTCCAAAACAAAGACAAGGGGAAGATCTAGGGTACGTAAGTCAAAGGTTGACAAAGCAGCAGATGAGGAGAATGAAGCCCCGCCAACGAAAAGGCCCAGGAAAAAATCAACTGCAGGGAAGGATGCAGGCAGTGTCAAGAAAGCACCCAAGAGAGTTAGCTTGCCTGAAGGTTCTCCAAGCGATGAGTCTCCAACCACTGCAAAGAAAGACAGCCCTGCAAGCAGGATGTGCGAGTATCTACGAGAAGCAAAGAAAGCAAGACTAGCACGAATGGATGCAGATGAAACTCCCCAGCATGAGGAATCAGGAGATGGCACGAAAACCAAGAAGACCCGCAAGAGCAGAAAGGCTGCAGATGTGACTCCCTGCGATGAGAAACCCAAGAAAACCCGCAAGAGCCGAAAGGCTGCAGATGAGATTCCCCGCGATGAGAAACCCAAGAAAACCCGCAAGAGCCGAAAGGCTGCAGATGAGATTGCCCGCGATGAGAAACCCAAGAACACCCGCAAGAGCCGAAAGACCGACAAGCCCGAGAATGCCCCAACAAAGGTTCGAAAGACAGGAGCCGCCAAGACCAGGAAAGAAAAACCTGACAACAAACCTGCAAAGAAGACCACGTACAGTGCTGAGAAAAAGGCAGAACTGAGCCGAAAGTCAAGTGCCTACCATGTTGCGTTCAAGCACACAGAAGGGACAGAGGAGGAGAAACGTGCAGCAGCAAGGAAGGTACTCTAGCTGCACAGAGTCAATATAAGAAAAGCATGCACCACGCTGCACACTCATGCATATATGTTCACACGTGCTACATAGATGTTTCCCAACTCTTGTTTTCCCATCATCTGAGGCATACAAGGAAACGAAGTGATTCCTTTTCCATGTGCAATGGGGTTCTTTGAGAGCGCGGTACAACGCCAACATGATGCGCCGGGACTTTAGCTGTCTCCCATCGCTTGTCCAGTGCTGCTGTGTTTCAGATCGACGCAGATTAGACTGACAAGTATTTGTACAATCTTGGGGTTTGGGTGGCAAGTTAGATCACAACCTGGTGGCATGCGAAGAAGAAAAAATGACAATTGCGTATAATTATTTTTTGTGGTTTCAAGGGCATCTTAATCACTGCAACATGCAACTGCCTAGAGGGCCTACTACTGCTCCCACGCAGGTACTGATGCCACTCTTCGAGCGCTTTGCTTCCAGGGCTGCGTCGTCAAGTGCAGCTGGCTAGTTAGTTACTCTGGGCCCCTGGTGAACTGGTATGGTTTGAATACTAGGGTTTAAATACTCTGGTGGATATGTGAAAGGAGGTAAACGTATTCCATGGAACAATTTAAAAAATGCGACCGATATGATTTTTCCAAATCCCTTCACTCCTCCAGACCGGCATCTGCAGCTGGTTCGGTTCAGAGACTCCTGGTGCCAAAGGGCAGCTTCAGAGTGGTGCAATGGGGGTGAAGCGGAAGGAGAGTGTTATCTTCAACCTAGCCCATATGGGCGCGCCAAAGGTGCCCTTGGTTAATAGCAAAAATATAGTGTGTATCCGTGTGTCATATTCATGCCCGGCACCCCGGACCCCACACATACTATTGCCACTATTGCAGGTACTGCTGGGAATTATTTTACTCTTGGGCTTCACCAAGGGTGTAGACATCAACGATATGTCGTTCACCATGGTGGAGTACTTCTCGGGAAAAGGCAATGTTGCTGGAATGTTCAAAAAGGACCCCAATCACAGAGTGGCTACGTTTGAGCTGAAAGATTCTAAAGCTATGGATATGAACTCTTCAGCGGGATTTGCGCTCCTTCCCATGCATGTACGTACGTATTACCTTCTGTACACATGTACTTGCGTCAAATATGTATGCTTTACCTTTAGCAACACCCTTTGGTCCACTAAGGTTAGCTTTGCTGCTGGCACTGCAGTCAGCACCTGGTGCCTTGCATTTGCTAGCGCCGGTCTGCTCATCTTGGACACGAATTTCCCGGGGGTCTTCATGGCGAACCTGTATCAATGTTTTTGGTGACCTCTCCAAAGAATTTGTCACTTCAGCATTTCTGATGATGTCAAGGTAGGGTGTGATTGTTTTTAGGAACGAAAGTGACCATCCCACCAGATTTGTATGTGTTGTCATTTTTTCCTTTGTGCAGGGTGACGCTCCTCATGTTAGTGAGCATCGCTGTTCATGCTGTTCCCCTATGCGAGCAGCCAAGCGGTTCTGACGACGTGTTCCCACACCACCCAAGATTTGCTTGGCTTTGCAACCGTGTTGCGATCGCAACTTTTCTACAATAGGTACCTAGACATGTTGCCTGTACTTACGAGTATGTACAAAAGTGGCTGTCTCATTGCCAAGGTATTTCGTAACAGCTTTTGGATGGCCCACCACGGAAGCAAGAGTCCAAAAAGAACAACAGTTTGGAGTACTAGAAAGATTGTGGTTGCCAAATTGGTTCCTACCTCAGACGGTTTGGTCTCCGAGTGAATCCCTACTCATAATTTCACACTGCCCCTTGCAGCCTGCGTGAGGACAAAGGAACCCTGACCAAGAAGACCAAGCAAAAACGATGCACTCTGAAGACCACACGCTTGCTTCTTAGGCTTTTATGTAGAGCTAGGTGAACAGTGAACAGGTGCTGTTGGAACTTTCTAATCGTATGGGATGACTTTAAGGCAAATATTTGAAGAAAGATGGGACGTTCGGCTTTTGTGGCAGCGCCACATTGAAGCAAACACAGTCTAGACCTAAGTTTTCCCAACCCATGGTTGTCAATTCTCCTCCCTTTGTGGCTCTAAGGGAATATCCGAAAGGACTGGGGAAAGCATTGGTGCGACTTTGGCGAGACAACAAAATCATGAAAACCCCATCACCTTGTTTGAGGCAGAAAAGAGATTTAAACACATTCCATTCAGAGAAATTTTTATTTGAATCACTTCCCATGGGTGATGTCTGGTCCGATGCAAAACTTGCTGACTGTTACTTCTACCTCTACAAGAACAAAGAGCTATCGATTCCACCGGATTGGGTGGAGATAATGCGCAAATTCACAAATGAGTTGAAGCAGGTGCCTAGACTGGCGTTAGGGGGAGGTGTATGGAAAACATGCTTTTGCTAGCTATTTGATTTGTGTGCCTGCTTGGTGTCTCCCATTCCAAGGTGCAGCAACCCGATCCTTTTGGCCTGGAGGAGGAGTGCCTTTGGCTGAATAACAGGGTTTCTCATTCCATCTCAAAGCCTCTTTTGGGATTACTACGCTGGTGTTTTGGGTAAAAGATGTCTGAGCTTTTGCGCCCAAGGTGATCTACATTCTGTGAGGGTGCTTAATTCTGAATTTGGCTGGACCAACTAGCGCAATTTGTGCTTAGAGGCATTGGCCCGTTCGCAATACATGTGGCACTGGTCCAAACATTTTTTTTGGGATAAAGTCAAAAAAAAAACAACTAACTTTACCCGCAAAAAACCCGCAAAAATCGATCAAAAACACGCAAAAAAACATCAAAAACCCGCAAATCCAGAAAAGTCGTTTTTTGGGTTTTCTGGAATGTGCCACGTGACTTAGAAATCCCATGCAAGACAGCTGAGAACTGAAAAAAATGTTATAGGGCATTGTTTTGCCCCTTGTGACATGATTCCCATACACAAGAAATGCTTTCATCATGGGCATGACTACCAGTTGTATCCATTGATTACCAAAAAAAAACATTTGGCTCATTTAGGATCTTCTTAGGCCAGCCCGTTCTTGACTTGATGTCTACATCAGATAAGACATCACGGGCAACGCTCAACGAAGGGTTGGGCTTAGCAGTTGACATGAAGTCCTCGGCTACTGGTGATGTGATCGACCTCCAGATAGCTGTACCTTGGCTGGGCATGACTGGATGTCTCGAAGAAAATATCTATTATAGAGGGCAATGATATTGTTTGGCACCATATCTATAAATAGTTTCTATAGATGCCAAAGATCCATAGCCATCCATAAACCACTCAATCATGTGAAATACCCCCCAACTGATGAAGTTTCTAGATGGCTATCTTATTCTTTAAAGGCAGCCTTTTGGTTCATTGCAAGGCAGCTTTGCGCGAAGTCCAAGCTCTTCAAGCGGATCTTGGGTATATCTCTGGAGGGTCTCCAGGGCAAGGGGCAAGTGGCTTGGTATTTCAATATAATTGCACCTGATCAAGAAACTGTATATGGATTGTATGATCAACTTCCCTGTTTAGTAAATACGATCCAAATAGATGATCAACTTAGGTGAACTATTCCAACAGCCTGTGCTTGCAAGTGGTGGTCTGTTTGCACCTGGTCACCCCCCAGATCATGTGTTGAGCCCCGATGGAGATGCTCGACGGTCTGCCTACCAGGTCAAAAGGAACCCTCCTCTCTCTGCAACAATGGTTCTTGGGGATGATACCCCTGTTTCCCCAGAACAGCCAGATGGTGTTGGGGATGGGACTCACTCCCACAGCAATGGGTTTCCAAATGAGACCCCACCACCAGATGCCAAGTACGTGGATGATACCTTGCCAGACGATGAGTCCGAGTTGCCACCGGAGTCTGAAGATGCCCAAGCACCACCACCACCAGCTCCTGAGAGAGCAGCTGGCAGGCCACTGCCAACCCCCCCGGGAGCGCCAAAGCGGTTTGTGGATGAGGATGGAAAATCAATGTATCAAAATGGGCTTTACTGGAAGTTACTCAGCATGCATGTGCATATATGTCTCAAACGCATAATATATCAATAATATCGATCGAACCACTGAGACTGCTGAGGCTTAAAAGGTATTGTGCCCCGAAGCAGGGTCAATCCCCGGCAAGTCAAGCGGTCTTGGATATGTTCAAGGACAAAGAAAAACGTGCCTTGGCAATACTATGTTATCATATGTTCAGCCGGTATTTCATCTCTTCCATCCCATTTCCGAACATTTAGGTGACAGGCTTGCAGAGATCTTACACCAGGAAGGGTCCTTTGGGGCTATGGAAGTGAAGGTTAAGCAAGTGGTGTCGCAGGAGGAAACCGATAAAACACTCGGAGGGTGGCACACAGAGATCAGTTTGGAGAAACTGGGATGGAAAGAGCCGCAGCCTTAAACCACCACATGACCTACATATTATGCGGCAGGTGCAGGAAACAAATACCCCATTTCATACATTTTTTTCTGTCATATGCTGAGGCACATGATCGCCAATGCCAAACGTTGGGCCACCTCACGTGGCCTTACAAGAAAAAATGAAGTTCACGGTGAAGATGAATTCCGTATCCCCACAGAAGAATTGTTTACTTTTAAAAATACGAGGCAGCGGGAGGCGGAGGGGAGCGGGACCATGCAAGTGGAAGATCCAGAAGGAACACTTCTTCAATTTGGTGACATGTCAGCGCAGAGCGCAATTATGCGCCTAGGCTTATAGTTTGGGATTGTAAGTGGCTAATTCTTTTGAAGCCCCTGGACCTTCAAACTCACACCGCCCGTTGATCTAAGGCGAGGTGCGTCGTCGGAGGGCACGGCCAGCCAGATTGCAGCGCAGAGCGCAGATAATGCCAAGTTGGGAAGCCTGCCCATGGTGCAACAAAGTCAGGATCCATTTAGTTTCTTGTTCTGTTTATCGGTTTTCATATTATATTCCTTACGGGCCCCTAATCCTTCTTAAGACGATATGTAATAGCATGCATATGGAATCAAATGGATCTTCTGAAAAACATCGATCGTATATTAAAGATCCCCACCACCCATCTATATTCTATAATCCCATTTGCACTTAAAACCCTACCACCTGCATGTAATCTTGAAAACTGGTTTTGTTCAAGAATTTTCATTTCATGACTGTAACGAAACCCAGGTTACATCACCTGCTACGTGGACCAGATGGGGAAGAAGCTCGATCGGGTTGCCGAACTCCAGGACTGTTCTTTCTCTGATCTCACTAGGTTTCTACTTTATAACTCATTTTCCCTCGCCACCCTTTAGCATCAGGAACGACTGAAGACAGCTGGAACAACGAGGGCAGATGAGTTTCTCTTTAGCATTCAAAAGGTTTGTCAAAACTGAACATCTGAATCACAATCAACATTCTTATACAGCTCTACTGCCCCACTACTATATGAACGGTACTAAGGATGGTGAAGGAAATTCAAACCCAAAGGGATGGCTACAAGCGAGTCTACGACCAGCTTCTTAAGTTCCAAGAGGACACATGTGCCATGGATGCTCCATCGGTTTCTTGGTTTAGATCCCTCATGATCAACATTCAGGGTGGTCCCAAACCTTAAAAGAAAGTTGGCACCTGGCCACTTAAGGATGTTGAGAAGAAGAAGCTGAGGGGCCTTTTTATCGAATGCACCAAGATGGATGTTCGTGTCAACAACATCATGTCCAGGGCGAGGCTATATTGTTTTAAGTTGTGAAACAAGTGTATAGGAGAACAGCTATTGATTTATGCATTTTTCCCCGAGCTCCACAAGAGAAGCTTTGAACATGTTCCGGCAGGTCCTTGAAAGTCTCCAAGCCGAAAGCCAAAGCGAAAGCGGTTGCAAAACCTGAGCCGAAGCCAAAGACTGCTTCAAAGAGTGCTTCAAAGAAGCGCAAGTCAGGGGGTGAATCTGCACCCTCAGCACCAGCTGCAGCTGGCGGGTCAGACACGCCTACCGCTCCGTCTAAGAAGAGAAAGGTCAAGAAGACCAAGTAGTTTTTGTGCTGTTTTGCGTTGTTGGCCCATGTGACAAATCCATGGGTGAGATATGATAAAGTGAGCTGTCAATTTGGGTTTGGCACCAAGCCACAGAGGTGTGCTGTAGTGTCTTTCGACGCTAGCGCATTCAGGCTTGCTTACGTGCTGAGATATGTGAACTCTGGGGACTACAGCTGCGATGGATGAAAAAACAATTGCAATTCCTGAGGTTTTCAATGGACCCCAAAATCTAAGGGCTGAGAACCCTCAATCATAGTGGGGTTCTTTATTTCTCTGTGTCCATACATCCCTGCCAGCCAGGTAACTATGTACGTGCGCACATCACACCAATGGTTGGAGGACTGCTTTGGCGGGAATGGTACGCTTTCAGCTTCAGTAATCTTCAACAACTAGTAGCGGCCACATGTTGCCGGAAGGAGACCCTTTTGCAAAAGAAGATTTGCAACAAGATGATGAACAAGCTTTGGAAATATTGGATGACTACTTTGCAGGTGTTACTTGATTTAAGAGGATCTCTTTTGTGCCTAAGCTACATAAAGCCATCTATGCCGCAGCCCAGGCAGAATCAGCAAAGCGAACTGCTCGAATTGCACAGATTGCTTTGGGGTCACGTCACAATAGAAGAAACTTAGTGTGCAAAAGTGATCAATCTTGTAAGTTGTAAACGTTGCAAATTTCAAACACCAGCTCTAGAATCACAAAACCTGGTGGATCCAACATTTTCAAATCCTGAGGAAGTTCAAATTTTAAGATTACCACCGGCCACGCTTAGCCAAGGAGCTGGTGAGTTGTTGCTTCGCATTGCTTCGACAGGGCGGACCAAGACCAACGTGGACCGCAACCTTCGGCGTTGCATCCACAAAGCTGGGGTCACTATGCCAGTGGACTTTGTTCTTGTACCAACAACTGTTCAAATCTTGAAGCCTAAATTGAGGATCGACAATGTTTTTTGGCCAACTTTGTCAATGAAAAGCTGGGTGTCTGTCCTAGCGGAATCATGCCCTCAAGTTCTACTTGGCGGTTTCCGGCTTGAGGAATCTGAAAAGTGGAGAAACCTATTTGGATGGTTCTGGGATCGGTTTGAGGGAGTTGATAGGGGCCATCCCATCTATGAGTTTGGCTGCGACCGCACATGCTGTATCCCAATCATGGTGCATGGAGATGAGGGACGAGGCCTGAGGTCCCAAGCATTTATGGTAGAGTCATGGCAATTTGTCATCTCTCACTTGGGTCCCTTCACTACAAACACATCTGGGCACCTTGGTTAAAATAGTGGTATCTCTTAACTTTGCACATGGGCATGTTTATCAATGTTTGGGGTATCTGTGTGTTAAGTACTTGGGGGCCACCCGCTACCTTGCATATGAGGCATTCTTTCACATCCCGGCTGTTGTTTACCTGCATATCGTCCAAACTCTTTGATGGTGAAAAAACACTACGAGATCTCAACGATGAATTTGCCAAGCAACTTCGCTCCATGTTCTTTGAAGGGGTGCAGGTGCCCTGTTTATTTGTGGGGTCATGCACCTAAGTTTTTGACATATGTTAGTAGCCAACCCCCTGAGCCAAGACACTCCGAAGGTGGGCAACCATGTCATCCGGCTGATCTGGATTGCGACAAAAGGCGATTGGCCATTTCTTCGCAAAGTACCTTGGACAACAGGGCTTTACTGGACTGTCGCATGTTCCATGTTTATTCACCATACGCGCTAGCGGCTAGCAAGTGAATTTGTTTTGAGGCATGTTCACTATTTACCGGCTTTACCAGCCTTCGCATTTGTCATCTCTGCAGTGGACAGGAGCCAACCCATGTTATGTTTGCCCAATTCCAAAGTTAGCTTACTATCTTAAGTCTATATTTGCCTCTCCCCGCAGGACTGGTGGAGATATGATTCTGATGCACCTTGGAAGTTAGCTGAAAACAGACCCGGCGAAAGTCCCTTCAAACCTGAAGGGAATCCATTTGCCATTGTCCCTGGAGGGGATTCCCCAAACCGAATCCGTCCAGATATGGTCCATACTTTCCACATTGGCTTCGGCGTTGACTTGGCCGCTAGCTTTGTGGTTTGGCTTTGCAAGTTAGGAAAGCTTGGGAGTAATGGGAGGCCACGGCAATCCTTTGATGATAAGTTGAGCCTGGCATACTCTACATTCAGGGAATATTGTCATATTCACAAACGGTTCACTGCATGCGATCACTGGTCTATGAAAAAGTTGGGCATGACTTCGAAGCTTAGCTGTGCTATATTGTGCTATTTGTTTTTAGTGGTGCATACTGTTTTTCTCCTAAAACCCCCTATATAGATAGGTAGGACATAATTAATCCATATGGCATATGTTTACATATTGTCTTCCCCAAGTCTGTGGGTCTAAGGACAAATGATTTCCCTACAAGTCTTGGTGGAAAAGGTCACGATACAGGGGTTGTGTGCAGGTGGCTGGATTCATTCCTGCGCAGCATCGCTTCTTGGTAACATTGCTGAAAACCCTTCCATACATATTATAAACGTTTATACTATGATATATCATATATGTTGCCTGAGAAAGTCTGTAGCTCAGGATTGTGACACCGAAATCTTGAAGCTGATGAGATTCACCATCTCTCGTGTCAACTTGGTATTTGATGTGCTGTATGAGTGTGGAATCTTCATCCCTCGTGCAGAATCTATCAAAGCTGTGGAAGCTGGATTTGATGCATGTGCCATCTGTCTGCAACAATTGCGCTATGAATTTATATGTTTATGCACCATATCAGCTGGGTAAAATTTTGTTAAGTGTTCATCTGAGGTGGGCTATGCACAATTGGCAGTGATGTCGCATGAGCAAGGTCAAAAACTTTTTAGGTTGAGACCAAAAGTTCATATGTGGTACGAGATTTTCCTGCAAATGGACTGCGAAAGTCCATTTTCTCTCTCACCTTTGGCTACATGCACATGGACAGATGAAGATTTTATTGGAAGAGTAAGTCGAGTTTCCCGATCGGCTCATGGAGCTGTTGTTTCAGTGCGGTGTATGTCGAAATGCTTGGGGCTTTACCAAAGCCAGTTCCGCAAGACCTTCAACTGCAGACTAGGTGCCAGAACAAAAATGATCGCCGCCATTCTTGGTCTTGATGGGCTGGATGTAGTTGTGAGCACTTGCTCGCTGGGAAATGGGATGAAATACCTAAAACCACTAAAACCACTAAAGGGCTAACTTCACTAAAAAATTCTCGGAAAAAGATCCTTCAGGAAAGTATATTAATATACCACTAATGGATCGTTCATAATGTGGATATTACCCTCCAGTAAATTAACCTAGACCCTGCCAGAAAATTGGCTATTTTCAGGGGTCTAATGTGAATTTGCCAGAGGTAACCACGAATGAAGTCACCCCACGGCGTATCGTGCCTGCTCCGCTGGCAAGGCTCCGCCAGGCCCTCCTCAGCTGCCTCCGCGCGCGACGCAGCACCTGCGTCGCGCGGCGGCGCCAGCGCGGATGGCGGACGCCTGGCGGGGCACTGCTTCCCAGCCAACATAGTTGCTTGTCCCATCTGGGCAGAACATGGCAAAACTTCTCCATCCCCAAAAATTAAAATGAGTGATTCAATAATGTGTCACACTAAACCTGACCAAACAATTGCTCCAATACATCCAAAGACTTGACCGTCGACCCATCCCATATGCTTTCACTCCTCATGCTTTCCGCACCTTTGGCTGCACCATAGGGGCCCCTGATGTTCCAAGCCAGGGCCGGCCACCTTTTCCGAAAATCGGAGAGCTTAAGCTCAGCAGAAGACACCAAGCAGCAGCGTTCAAAGGTGAACATCTCATCAAAACATTCCGGAGGACCTCGGAAATCCACTTTGCTGATGCTTTCTGAAGCTGGATCCTCTCCAAATCCCCAATCATCACCAACCATTGATGCCCCCACCAAACAAATATTGATTTCATCAGTATGGTTTCGCAACATCCATTCTACGTCATCTGCATTTGTGACAACACATCTCTCAACCTACCATTCTCCCGGTCTTCCGCAACCCACGTTCCGTTCAGCGCCAGAAAACGTGAGAAACAACAGCTGCTGAAGGAGAAACCGTCCTGAGCAGATGAAAACGGCAAAGTGGGCAGGTAGTCATTTGCGCACGGTCCCAAATTCAGGAGGAACATTTAGTATATTTTTTCCAGTTCATCAACATTGGCCAAACTCCATCAACAATCATCCATCATCAATCTTCATCAACATTCATCAAGATCCACAACACCACACCAACCTTCCCAAGCTTCTGACCAACATCCAGCATCCAGTTGCATAGTCACAGCTCACTTTGTCGCAGTCTCCACCGTACCACGGCTGGAAATTCAGCCTTTCACAGTTGGTACCGTGGCTCCATCGGTGCCAACATGGCAAGGTTTCGCTCACGCCCACGCCGGGCCGGTGATGTGCACAGAGACTTTCGGGCATAGCCTTGATACCCTCCGGTCATCTGGCTGGAAATCCCAAGACCTTTTGATGTCCAGATGATTCTCCAAACGAGATTGCCAAATCGGATTAGTAATTTGAGGTGTCTTTTCTTCCATTTCCAACAAGTCGCCAAATAAGATTCGATACATCAGAAAGTAAACCCACTAATATCCCATTTTCTCCATATACCTATTAATATACGCGTATATATATGCCATGGTGTTTGGATGTGTTTGGAATGTATATATAGGAAATCAATTTTTTCCCCATATCCCAATTTTCTCAAGATTTCCTCACCATTTCTTTTTTTGGTCGCCCAGGTCACCGGGCTCGGCAACAACGCTCGGCCAGCCTGGAGCTTTCCAGCTGGGTTACAGAGTAACACAGATGAAAAAAATCAGGTGTCAATAAAGACTAAAGACCTATAATGGGCATATACATATAATCATACATACATATATGTATTATATATATTACATATGCATATATGTGATTATATATGTATGTATGTATGTGTACTGATGTACTGTATGTACCGTGATATCTCATCCACCTGCTTGGCCACCACGAGCTGGTCTTCCTGGTGCCACCACCTGGGCTGTGATCTATGGGAAAATCACATTTTTCTAAGGGGTAAATGATGGTACCCTCTGGTAAACTAACATAACTATGGAAAATCACCATTTTCAATGGGAAAATCCACTATAAATGGCAATTTTCAATAGCTACGTTAAATTACCAGAGGGTAGATGATCTATAAATGGGCCATGAACAATCATGAACATATATCTATAGCAAACATTAGCAAACTCTGGTCATGTTCATTATTGTTCATTTCTACATATGGTAATTATTTTCATCCATTTTCCATATGTTCCATAGCAAACTGTGAAATTTACCCAGAGATACCCAGAGGGTATGTGGAAAAAATTGGAAACAACCATGAAAACCTGTGATTTTTTTGAGGACTGTCAAATTGTCAAGGGGATCTGGACAGCTATTATAGTACAAAATCTGCTAACACCTCCTCGGGCATGGGATGCCTCAGGTCCCGGCAATGCTGGCGAACCAGGAACCACCACGAACTGGATCTGTTGCGGAGCTTTCATGGGACAAGTGGGCTGCTAAATATTCACTACTCAATTCCCTGAAGCTGTGGAAAGTGCAAAACCATGCAAAACCAGCATGTGGCTGTGGCGCAAAAAAATCCAATGGTGTGCATCTGATTCATTTGTCCCTTGCAGCTTGCATCTACTATTCCTCTCCGTTCGATTTCTCTCCGTTCGATTTATTCCTAACAAACATCTCCTCCTTGTGTCTCTCGAAACAAGACTCCTCTCCAATGAAGGGAAAATTCTGTCTCCAGCGCGTACATGCCAGCACCCTGAAAAGGTTATCGAGTTACTTTCCCCAGGAATGACCACTGGGACTTTCGTTCATTGGTTCAACTTACTGTCAGCTGGTACCTGCTTAGTAGCTTCACCCAAACAATATAAATCAACCTGGAGTCTCATGGTCTGTTCTGGGCCTGCAGCTGGATTTCATCTGCAGCGGATGGGGCTTCAACCTGAAATTGAGAGGTGGCAAAGCAAAATGGTCAGCCCAAGCTGCTGTAGGAATGAATCATATGGAATCATCTCATCTTGGATGTTTGCAACGTGTATGATTCCCAAGCAAAACGATCAAGAGATTCGAGACCAGCCCGGGAAGAAAGATCTCAGAGTTGCTGAAATTTGGGGAGATTCGCGAACCACCCAAGTATACATAATAACCTTACTACCAACCAAGGAACACTAGCATAAAGTTTGCATATGTTTGCATGTTGGTCGCAGAACATTTCCAACCGGGGAAAACGACCAGCACCAGTTTCACCCAGAAACCACACATTTCTGGGTGGTGTCTTTCTCCACGATGTGAAAGTCCAACCTGAATGCATGACTCAGCGTTAAATTGCTGAGAATCATCCCTAGCCCCAGAAGAGAGAATGGTTTAGCGGGGTCCCTGTCATGTAAGGATGGGAAGTGAATGTTCGAGCCACCAGCAAGCCATTAAGCAATCTTCCAACCTCTCTCACCCCGCTTTTACCTCCGAACCGCCTTGTGCACTTTCGAAGTGAAGCTAAAATGTGCACACAAACAAAGCAGATCACTTCTTAAGTCTCAGATCTATCCATTGTGAATCATGAAACAAAAGGCAAAAACAAACGCCCATCAATGGCCCATAAACATATCTGGTTGGTGGTTTCAACCCCTCTGAAAAATATTAGTCAGTTGGGATGAGTATTCCCAATATATGGAAAAAATGTTCCAAACCACCAACCAGATATTTATATATATATATTTTTTTTTCGAACGTTCCGCCCCACCCCAGCTGCCTGGAACCTTTGCTGGTCACCTCTTCGACCTTCAGCCACCTGGGCACTGCGGCCGGCCAGGTTGGCGGCAGCGGCCTGCCTTTTATAACATTGCGATCTGAAAATGTGGGAAAGCATGGGAAAGCCAGGCTTTTATATGCTTTTATAACATTCATTGGTTTTCAACTGTCATATCAATCAATACAAATCATTAACAAAAGCATAACGACCATAACGTCTGCTTCGAGGTGTAGAAACAAATGGTACACTTAGGCTACAGGTCTGCTTTCATTATTCGATTTTCCGTTCTTTGCGCACATGAGTCATATCCTTCCAATATCTTCCAATTATATAACCCCATGTGGGACCCTAACAGGTCCGAAACCAGGCAGCCACTGAGAGTCTCTGCTGTTGGAGTTCCACCACCTGCTACGGATTTCCATGGATTTCCATGGATTTCCAGGGTGGAACCAAACTCAGGTCCCGCAAAGGCACATCATATTGACCATGAGTGTCAATGACAACATGTCACATCTATAATGCCTATAGCTGCTCAGTCATTTCTGCAATATTCTGCATGTGTTGGGGGAGAGAGCATGGCTACACATGGAAGGGTAGGCCAGGGCATCGGGAAAAGTTGAGCAAGAAGTGCCAAGTGTGTGCAGCATCCAACAGCAA